GAGTGAAATGCTTTTTAAAACAAGGTGTTACCGAGAATGTATAGGATAAAACAAATGTTCTGTATTTAAGAAATAAAGAAATAAAAAAATTTCTCTGTATGTAAGACAGTCATTAGATAACAATTCCTATGTATACTGTACGTATATATAATATAAACATATCCTTGAAAACAGGTTGTTTAAATAATTTTGGCAACAATTTATTATGCTGTATAATGTGCTTGATGCTACTATGTTGTTAAAGAGTTCAGTGCAGAGATATGCTGGCCATCCTAAATGTGGTGACATAAGAAGGTATTTCAGTCCAAATAATACACTTCCCGGTATTTACTACAGAATTTGATCTCTGATTTCGACTTTTTTCCTCCATTCTCTCAGATTTCAGCAAGCAAGATACATGTACTAAGGTAGCATAGGGTACAGAAATTCTGTAGCGCTTGTGTGTGCTCCCCCCCCCCCCCCGGCCTGAGTTTTCCATTAAATGTTTACTGTGTGTACAGGGAGACTTTGGTGTATTTTCAAATATGTGATCCCAGTCAAGCCTTCTCAAGGTTGTACAGTCATGTGGCAGATTGTGCCAGCCAGCATTTTTGGACTCGCCCTAATAATACCCAGCAGATTGAGGTGGCTTGATAACTAGAGAGGAGGAAAGTTTTTCTAAGCATAAGGCATAGCAGGGCAGGAACTGGGTGGGGGGAGGGAAACAAAGGAAGTTGAATGTCCTTGCTGAGGAGAATATACTCTCCAGTTGCTGCTGTCTTTTCTTAATTTGCAATGGCTAGTCTGCCCGGCTGGCAGTACTCCAACTGGTGCTCTGTTGTAATGGACATACCGTCCTCTAGAAAATGAAGTCACTGAAAAAGGCTGACTGTGCCATGAGCCAATATGAAGTAGTTGCTTTGAGGTAACACAATCCAGTATGCGAGTGTGAGAGAGGCTTCGTGCAACTTGCATTGCAAAATTACTCAGAGTATAGCTATAAAATGACAGGTAAATTTAATAAACAAGTTCTGTCATTAAGTGATTCATTTAATTCATCTGGAGCTGCGGTGGCTCAAGTGGTCAAGACGCTGAACTGCAGGCTGTGGAAGGTCGGTAGTTCAGCAGTTCGAGACCCGGGTGTGCCGCATGACGGAGTGAGCTCCCGTCTCTAGTTCCAGCTCCTGCCAACCTAGCAGTTCGAAAGCAAGAAATTGCAAGTAG